TTTGTAGAATAAACATATAGAATTTGTTATTAATCAATAAGCATTTTGATTTATTTGAAATTATAATTTACTCAAAATAATAAATCATCGTTTTATTAAGATATATTAAAAATCTACTTAAAAATATATTTATCTTTCATTTTCAACGTGATAACCAAGTACACCAATAACACTTCCATAACTAAAAAATAGTGTTACAGTAACACAATTAATGACTACATATTCACAATAAGTTAGTGTATCATAAGGATTTGAATATTGAACTCTTTTTTTAGCTTGACTAATCCAAACGGTCCCCTGAGTAAAAAAAAACATTCAGATTGTTTAAAATAACTTTAAAAACATCTTTAATAAACTTTGACTTACAATTATAAACCAAACAAGACACAATATACCTGATTTGAATAATAAAAAAGTCCACCAATTTGACTTTTTCACGCAGTTCTAACACAACAAAAAAGAAAAATTTATTATCGATTAAAAGATTTTATTTTTATATTTTTGTTGTCTTAAAATATCAAATATTCAAGATCAATGTTACCTTTATAATGGCAAAAGTGAAACAAATCAATGTACCCACACCAGCGATGATAAGAAATTTTGGTATTCGATCATCAATAGGACATGAATTAAAATATAAAGATCCAATAATCACTTGCGTTATTGGTATGCCGACAAGGAGAATAATCACTGCAACAGCCAGTAGGATTAAACATGGCTTTGCTAGTTTTTTGTCAATAGAATTGATCTTGCGTTGAATAACATTTTCTTGTTGATTCGATAAAAAGTCGGATGATTTCATCGTGGGAGTCGCTTCAGTGTTATATTCACTTTTCGTAATAATTATTAATTAATTACTTTACTTCTCTCGTTTTAATCTTCTTCTTTATATATTATATAGGAATATACGTCATCTTTAGTTCTCTATTATTTACCTTTTCTTTTGTTTCTTTTAAAGAAAGATGTTGCCGTTTGCAGTATCTTCTGTCAACAATAATATGACGCATTCAAACAAAAAGTGTAACAATTAGTCAACAGATATTTAACAGCGAATAAGAAAAAGATGATAATGACGTTACAGAATAGAAGTGGGATGTTGGTTTTTGAATTCTATCGTATTTGAAATAGCTTTTACATTGAGTTAGAGTAAACATCAGTGTTATTACCATAATAGACAAATAATGATGTACCATGTACGTCAATGAATGAGTAACGAGCGTGTTGAAACATAGAACGTTGTTCACTAAGATCTCGACTAAAACGTATAACGTGTAAGCTCAGTCGTCGGGAATTCAGCTTTATCATTTCACTGATTCAGTATTGCTATCTTGTAGAGCATAGTTTATAGGATGTCGAAACATATTTTGTTATTTTGTGAAGTGTCGAAAGTCGTACTATTAGTAGCTACTAATGAAGATCTTGATAATATCTAAAGAAGAATAACTAAATGTACTTTGTAATTAATCTAGTCCTTATATCGATTCAAATTGATATATACAAAGGTAATTTATAGCAATTGATTATATAATAATTAAGTATCATTTGACACAACAGCTGATTTTCTACTTCTTACAGTTTTTGACAGCGATATTAAGTAAAACTACTAAGTTTATAGCATCATCGCTTAACGAAAACTAAGTATTATTTTTTTCTTATTTTGGTTTGTATCAAACTTTTTTTTGCATAATTTGGACATCTAATGCTACTTTTTCTTGATTTTTGCATATTTGAGAAGTAAGACTTGCTGATAGTGATGCATAATTCAAAGAGCACTATTCACACTATAGATAGAATCGGCGCAGCTATTAGACTTGGGGAGGTTGAAGCTAGCTCTAAAAGGCACTTAGTGTAATCTATAAGGAATTAAAAGGTGGGTATGAAGTGTGGGCATGAGTGAAAGTGATTCATACCCACACCTTAATTATAGGTATTTAATTTTTAGATTTGATTTATATAAAGATCAGATATGCACAGGGTCAGTTCATGATGGTGCGGGTGTGGGTGTGTGGGTATGGGTGTGGGTTTGGGTGTGACTGTGGGTGTGGGTATTATCCTCAATTACACCCACATCACGGTAGTTATGGAAGTGGGAGCGGTGCTGGAGGTGCTGCTAAACATCGTGAGATTATGTTCAGCGATTTGGGCGATCAGTGTACCACGCGCTCTTCGACGACGTTCTTATTGTCGTCAAACGAAAGCCTGATAATGCAAGTAAGAAAAACATTGATGTCTGAATGAAGACGTCCTTATGAATCAATGGGCATGATGACAGCATGTGCCTTGATGGATGATGGGGACTTTACCAACTCCAACTCAACGTCCCAAAAAGAAAAGAAAAAGTCTTCGGAAAAAGAAGTATGACCATCGAATGCTCAAGACATTGTTCGACATTTGATCAACAAACACAAATTTGACGGTCTTTGGGATCTTGACTCACAAGCCGTTCAGAACTTGACTGGAAAAACACTTGCTACCTTTATATAGGGAAATAGTCAAGTCGATCATCAGGTGCTAGTCTCAGCCATTATCATCGTTGTGCGTGAGACACGTTTTGCTGCGTTAGCATCGATGTGGCACGGTGTTGTCCAAAAGGCTCGCAAGCGTCTTACTGATGTACTAGGAACAGACTTTAAAGAACTCGATCAACTGTTTGAAAATGTTCACAAACAACTTCAAATAAATATTTCGTAGCAATGTGATTAATAACAGTATCATCTTTTGAAACTCATTCGAGCTTAGATTTATGCGCAACTTGCATATGTCAATAGGAAAGAAAATTAAATAATTGACAACAAAAATTGATGTAAAAAGGGTGTTTGTATTTTCAACTTACCAAAATTCAAATACCATCTTTCAATAGAAACAAAATAAATCATAATGCTAATGTGAGTGCGAGTGTGAGCGTCCGTGGGTGTTTCTGAAGAGTATACCATATACCACAACCACACCCATCCTCTGTCCTTGGTAGAAGTGTTTGTAGGGTTTCTGGTTGGTGAAACAACAGATGATCACTTCTTTCTTTTCTGTATCTATAAAATTATACATAATTTTTTTTCCTTCTCTCTATGAATCATATAACATCTGTCTTGACAATGACAGGTTATCTGTCGAAACGTCGACTTATCTAATAAATCATTTTTTGATAAATATTAAATTATTAAATAATTAGTTAATTTAAACTTAAAATGAAATTTAAAGCTGCTGTTATTCTTGTAAAATTTATACTCAAATTGATACGCATGAAAACAGTTAATTAAAAAAATGAGAGAATATTTATTTTGAAAATCTTTGTTTTTATTCAAGACAATGATCTTCTTTCTCTCTCTTTCTGTTTTTTACTAAGAATCTGATCGTCGTGATCAATTCCTATTCTAATTAAGCCCCCCCCCCCTCCTCAGAAAAGTCAATTTTGGTCAAACTTATCGATTTTGTGATTTATAACTCATTAGATAGAGCAAAGTGTCTACTCTCGAATGCACTATAGTTGATTGATTTTATGATGAGATTTAAGGATATTACATAGGTTTTTCTGAACCCCCATATTGAAAAAAATAAGGTTTTTAAAAACTTATTCTCCGCTTTCTCAAAGTCATTTTTTTTTGAGCATACCGTTTACGGGGATAAGGTTTTTTTTTAATAACGACTCAATAGAGAAGTGATAATTTGTTTTTCATTGTATAGAAGACACTTAGGGCTAGATCCTCACAGAGCCCGATTTTTGAATTTCTCTATTGGTGAAACAAAAAGCTTACATATTTCATTTTTATCAGCGATTTTTTTGACCATGAATTCGAGAATTGTCCCGGAAAAGATTTTTTAAAAAACAAACAAAGGAAATTTCAAAAATCGGGCTCTGTTGGGCTCTAGCCCTAAGGGTACTCTGCAACTTAAAAAAACGTCCCGGTATGTTAGCTCGTATCCTGATTGCGAAAACCTTGCCCGCGTACAGGGTAGTTTTGACCAATAAATTGACTATAACTCGTTAGTATATTGGAGTTTGAGGGGGATATTTCACCCAAAATCTATTCTAGCCTAGACTAATATTCTCCCAAAATTTAGTTGAAATCGGACAAAAAAATAACAAAGCTAGTTTCTAGGGAGGGGGGAGAGGGCTTAAATTCCATTTGTTATATTAAAATGAGAAATTTTTATTCTAAAGTTGGTCTGAAATTCTTGCTGATGATTGATCATAACTATTGAATCTTATTGAAAATAAAATAATTAAACTCTTAATTATCTTCGAAAGATTGACGATTTTCACATAAAACAATCTTTGAAAATATTTCCAATTATATCTATTCATCTAGAAGAATTTGTCTAATTTTATTAGATAATCTATCGAATAAAAACACAAAAAACTTATTTATTATTTCTAAAAGCAAAATCAACGTTTTATCAATGAAACTTGTTTGTACAAGAAGAGAGTTTAGATGAAAAAATATCCATTCTCATTTCTGATAATAAAAGAAAAATGTCTCCTAGTTAACTGATATGGCCAAACAATGAATCTATTATCAGAAGATCTCTATATCAACATTGATTAAGAACGATTTCAAGTAAAGACACACATATACTAGACTCGGAAAAACTTTTCTTCGTTGATATGGAAAAAAACTTTCTTTTTTGTTTTTTTAAATAATTTCTTTCATTCATATAGAGTTTGGTCATGGTTTTGACTGCGTCACTAAATTATTTTATATGAGTATATGTATTTAACCGTTTTAAAATAAATATTTCCTTTGAAAAATAATTGTAAGATGAGGATTATCATTTTATTTAAATAATCATTTTTAAAATAGATATTTTATCCTTCTCCCTTTATCCGATAAACGAAATTTATCGAAATTAAACTTTAAGAAAAAATCTCAATCATTTTATTCTATTTTATTCTATTGATCGAAAGAAAAAAAATATTCTTCGAATATCAATTGAACAAGTTTAAATAAAATATTAATTGAACAAAGTTTGTCATATTTATTAATTAAAGATCGTAGATAGATATGTTTTCATCATCTTGTGATACAATAGTTGTAATGGCTGATTTAACTCAATCAGGTTCAATTATATTTGGAACAAATAGTAATCGTCAACCAAATGAACCATTATCAATACGTTATCTACCATCTGAAAATCAAATACCTAATTCAAAAGTTCGAACAACATATTTGGAAATTGATCAATTTGAAAAAACAAATTCATGTATTTTATTTTATTTTCACCAACAAATATATTTGGAGCTGAAATGGATATTAGTTCTCATGGTTTAGTTATTGAAAATGAAACATTATTTACTAAAATTCTATATTATAAAGAAGGTTTAACTAGAGTAGATTTAGTTCGTGTAGTATACGAAACATGTTTAACAAGTGAACAAGGAAAAAAGGATATCGCCGGATAAGTCCGTAAATCTGGTTTGCCCCCCCCCCCCCCACAACAGGATCTGAAACGTGTTTAAAAAGAAAGCCCATGAAATTTTACATAGTTCTATGTATTTTTTTCTTCAATTTCTTTTTTCCAAATTTAGTGTCAAATAGCCGTTTTGTTTAAGGAGTATTTTCATTTTACACAATTTTCCAATCATGATAGAGTTATCATATTTGTTATAAAAAATTCGTATCGATTGATCGTTTTCTAAAGTGTTATATATCAAAAGATTCAGCAAACATTTCTCTACAGAACCGTTATAAATGATCGACAGTTGACGCTGATAAAGAGTAAAAAAAAGTGTATGAATACAAGAGAAGTATTCTAATTTTTATTGATTTTTTAAAAATCAAGCAAAAAATAGTTTTATTGTAACTCACCGTTCTCCATTGTAATACAAGTGACAAGATTCATACTTTCCCAGAAATGAATCCTTGAAATTCTCTACAAAATGAGTTAATTTGGATTCAAATAAAGATGGTCCAAAGGGTTCAACCGCCTTTATACATTTTGTCACTGCAATATTTTGATAAATTCAATACATGTTTCTATAAAGACTTCTGTTAGATATATGTTCGATAATGATGTATTAAAAAATAAATAAGCAATGATATCTTAATCAACCTTCAAATTACGTCGTTTGACATAGATTTTATTAGTGTTCTGACCTACATCTCACATTCAATAAGCAATTAGATCATATGAATCAATAGACACACATCATGATGTTTCTTGAATCTATTCCAATTTACTATTTCTCTCCTTGTTGAACATTTGAATAATGATAAATGCTTTTAAAGTTAAGCATAGATGTGCCTATACACAAATCTAAAGTAACTAAGTGAGCATTTTTATATCTTTACAAGAACTTCAAGAATAGTTTCAAAGTATTGATGAAATCTATCATCATGAATTTTGTAGTTATCATATTATACATCGAAATAGTTTTTTCATAGTAGAGTAGTTGTCTAGCTGATGGTGGTTACATTTCACTGTCGACTTAGTATGTTAATAAGGTTTTTCTACTATTGCTCTAGTTGAGGTATTTCGAGAGAGTTGATTATTTCTTTATTTTGATAATGTTTTGGCAGTTTTTGCTTTTGTTTGAAAGGCTATGCGTCGAAGTCCATCCATAAAGGATGAACGAATTTTCCGAGCAGAATTTTTTCGATAAAATCTGAAATATTTTAATAGAATTGGTGAATGTTTGTCTCCATCTGAGATGCATAGTTCGAACTACAGCTGAACGATTTCGTCGATCATTACTAGATCTATTCAAAAAATAGAACCTAACTATTAGGGGTTTATTCCAAAAGAGAATTATTATTTTGTCCTTGATATAAAATCTTTTATTTCAGAAAAAGTAAGTGCCTCGATGATGGGTGTGGATGTGGGGTGTGGCTACAAGGGATACACTCATGTACTCACACCCGCTCACACCCACACTGAGACCCCCACCCACCCACACCCACACCTCAAAACTACAGCAACTAGCGATTCTGTATCAACTCACATGTAAAAACTCTATGACACACTGATATCTTGACAGATGATATTGAAATATATGAATGATCATGGATGGCTAAGTAATGAATCACTACAACTTCAGGTTAAGCTTCAGATATTGAGATTCTCAATCAAGATTCTGTATTAATGAAAGAAAGAGCCAATGACATGTAAAATACTTCATATGATCGAATATATGTATCCAAAATGACAAACTTTCAATAGAAAATGTGTAAGTTGAACAATCATTTATCACCAATGACAAGAGGATACTCGCATAAAATGAGAGGGAAAAGATAGAAGCTCAAATAGTCAAAAAACAAAAAGTTGATAGAAGTCTTTTATATATGGATGCTCATCACACTTCATAGCTTTGCCTAATTGATCTTTGATCTTAAATAACCAAATAATTGATCATATTAATTTATTTGAAACAGAATGCCGATAGAGACTCTTCAAACAGAGAGACTACTCTACACCATTCTATTCATCACCCACTGGATATATAATGAGAGCACGTTTATATTTCGCTGGTGATATAATCTCAAATTTCTATTCATCTATAAGATCATATTTTGTGTGTATGATCAAACTCCAGCACAAGAATATGTCATTGATTCATTTCATGAATATAGGTTATGGCATGCCAAAGTTTGTATTTTCCATTAGAAATAATTCAACAGGAGGGAAATCTAAATGTTCGAGATGATGCAGTGTTCATCAAAATAATGGTACATTTAAGTAATGTGCCTGGAATGCCATTGCTATACACTTTAATTCTCAATCCAGGATTACCGATGTACATTCAATAGGCGATGATCAAAAATAAGAGAAACGAAAAGCTCAACAACAGCAAACATCCAAAACATAATTGATGTTCAATTTGTTATCGAAAAAATTCAATAATTGTCAAAATAGTGTTGCCAGTTTAACATGTTGCATCTATTCGAGAAACCATTTGAGTTTGTCTCTTGTTATTGATAAGCTTGCAAAAGATGTCATGTTTCTAAACAGATGAAATTATTCATTTGTCAGGCGGAAGAAAAATTGTACCAAGAGAATCTTTTTTTTTATTTTCAAAGTCAATATTCAATTACTTTTTTTGGAAAATTATCAAACTATAAATAAAATGATATCATCTACCTGATTTTTTGTCTAAAGACTAAAATTATTTTCGATTGATAAGCATTTACTTCTAATTGAAAACAATTCAAATGAGAAAAAATATGATAGTCTTTTTGTTCATAATCCAAAGCATATTTTATATTTTTTCTATAGAGAGTTAAAGTAATAATTATTGAAAAGTATTTGAAGATAAGTCTACTCATTTTATATGATATTATTACCAATTAAAGAAATTCATCCTATTCGTGACTCGTGCTGTCGACATACGAACTGATCTATTTGTCAAAAGTGAATATTAACATTAATATATTATAGAGATACATGTAAAATATTTTCGTTTTGTAAAATTTATTCTTAAGACTGACCTTTCAATTCTTCAGCTAATAGAATAAAACTATTAAAAAATTGACAAGATAAATGAAAAAATTCATTATTTGTTGATTGTGAATATTTATTGATTCGTTCGGAAACGCATACTAAGACAAAATGAATGATTCAGTAGTAATAATAAAATTGGGGTGTGGATGTTGGTGTGGATGTTGGTGTGGATGTTGGTGTGGCTTTGAGTCCCACACACACCCACACCCTTTATACAAATTGATTTTAAAAA